TGGAGTAAATAATGATATTTTTTGGGGGGGGTTTTTTTTTGGTCAAAGAAGAAAGTTGTTTTCAATTTCTATTTTTTTACTGTTGTGTTCCTTGTAGTTATCACCAGCAGCTGCTTTCTCATACTGATTCTCCTACCACATAGTCTTAGTATTGATGACCTAACAATTAAAAAATTTTTAACTGTTGACACCACTTATACTGTTTTGTCATGTTATTATGTGTTGTTAATGAGTATACAACCGCTCTGAAGCCTGCCCTGTACTGAGCCAGTCTCACTAACTCTGACACACCTACTCCCATTGTCCCAGTTATTTTATCAGTCTTTATCTCATTCCGGGTCATTCTCTCCTGCACTGTCCCTCCACCCTTCCAAGCATAATGTTCTTCTCCAAGGACTGGTCCCTCCTGGCCGTGTGCCAGTTTTAAGACTTAAGGTGTACTTGGTTCAAGCCATGATCTTTTCAACTACTTGGTGTGCACCTGAAAGTTAAATAGTTACTAAGGATGATAGAATACATATTGATAATTCTTTCAGTTGTGGTGTTGGAAGAAAGAGTACTGAACATCCCATGGACTGCCAAAAGAACAAATAATGTCTTGGAAAAAATGCAGTGAAGGTGCTTCTTAGAGGCAAAGATGGTGAAACTTTGTCTCACATACTTTGAGCGTATTATGAGGGGCCAGTCCTTGGAATAAGATAACATGCTTGGTAAGGTGAAGGGATCATCAAAAGAAAATGACCCTCAACAAGGTGGATTGACACTGTAACTAACAAAGGGCTCAAATATATTAGAGATGATGTGGATGGCACAGGACAGGGCAGATCTGCATAGAGTTGCTATGGATCATAGTTGTCTCCATGGTGTCTTAACAGCAACAGTTACTGGCATTTTTAAATTTTGTCTGTAATAGGGAGCTCTGGTGGTATAGTCTGTAGGGAATCGAGCCATTTGAATTAGCCATTGACTCCATGGGAGAAAAATGGACAATGTCCTGCTATGTTGTTTATAGCCACAGAAACCCAATGGAAGATAGCTGTGGATCATTTCTGACTTGGTGACAATGAAATCCTGTTCTCCTTCCACACCTTTGCCCCTAGAGTGTGTAATGGTATTTCTCTTTATTGTCTATAATTCTTTTAATGTTACTCCATCTCTCTTTAAGGACAATATATTGATAACTCCCTTACTCTATTTTGCTTCTCCCTTTGTCTAATGTGTATCTATTATTTAATTACTGATATCGTACTCCTTACTCTCATCCTTGGTAGCCATTAAAAGATATCCCCACCATATATGTTTTCATTGCCGCCTTGTATTTTTTATTTTTGTGTGAGTGTACCATCAAATCAGATCTGACTGGTACAGGAGGAAATTGTCCCTCCTTCCCCAGCAGAGCATCTGGTGGATTCGAACCGTGCGCCTCTGGGATTGTAGTTGCAGGTCCTTGCCACTAGGCCACCAGAGCTCTCCTGAAATACTTTTAATCTTAATCTTTTGGGATATTCAGTACTCACCTCCATTACCATAACTCAAAGACATTAATTTTTTTCTGTCCAGAATTTAGATGCATAGTAAATAATTGAAAAGATTATGGTCCAAATAAGGTACACCTTAATCATCACATTGAGATCATTGCTCCTCAATAATTTAGAAAGATTACTGACTACAGATTTTTCTGGTACAGTAAGTCTCTTGATATCTTAACTGCTAGTACCAAGGGTATTGATTGTGGATCCAAGTAAGATGAAATTATTGAAAGTGTCAATCATTTCCCTATCTCTGAAGATATTGACTATGAGTCCAATGGTGAGAATTTTTGCTTTCTTGATATTGAGATGCAATCCACACCATAGCCTAGTCTTTGATCTTCTGCACTAAGTAGTTCAAGTTCTCCTCAATTTCAGCAAGCAGGGTGTGCCATCTGCGCAGTGAAGGATATTTATGAACCTTCCTGCAATCCTGATGCCACATTCTTCCTCATAAAGAACAACTTTTGAATTATTTATTCAGCATACAGCTTGAATACATATGGAGAAAGGATACAATCTTGATGTACATCTGTCTTAACATTAAACCATGTAGTGTTACCATGAAAGACAGTAAAGAGATTGAGACTGTTAACAGCTTCAGTTTGGTTGGCTCCACAATCAACACTCTTGGTACCAGCAGCCAGGAAATCAAAAGATGAATTGCATTGGAAGCATATGCTTTCAGGAACCTCTCCAGAGTACTGAAGAGTAACAATGTTGAGAAACAAAGGTGTGCCTCACCCAGGCCATGCTCTTCACAATTACTTGCTATGCATAAGAGAGCTGACTAAGGATGACAGAAGAAGAATTTATGCCTTTGACTTAGGACTGCTAGGAAAACAAACAGGTTAATCCTGGAGAGGAAGAAACTAAGCTGCTCCTTGGAGACAAAAATATTGTAGCTTTGTCTGACCTACTTTGGGCATGTTCCAAGGATGGGCCAGTCCCTGGAGAGGGACATCATGCTTGGAATGGCAGAAGGACAGTGCAAAAGAGGAAAACCCTAAATGACATGGATTGACTCAGGGACAGCTTTATTGGGGGTAGGTGTGTCAGAGACAATGAATTTGGCTCAGAATTGAGTAAAGGGCCAAGGAATGTAGGCTCCGATATGGATTGAAGCTCAACACCAAGAAGACAA